TCACATAATTACTTACTCAGGTTCACCGTCACTTTCCCCGATGCCTCATTCATTCCTCCACTTGGCACGTAGTTTGGATACGTTGCCCTACACGTGTAGAACGTGTTACAGACCACAGCTCGTGTGCTAGGATCTTGTCTTGTACAGTTGTACTTGGACACCACGTCTTCAGCTGAGATGAACTGTACTTGTAGTGTTGATTGTGTTGCACCGTTGATCTTTGTTCCATTGTTAAACCAATGTATGTCAGGTGCTGGTTCACCAAGAACACTACAGGTTAATGTAATGGAACTTCCTTTGATGCTTGGAAGGATGAAGTCAGCAGTATTTAAAACCACTTTTGGGACGACGACTGAAATAATACCGCATAATTATCATTATTGATTAGATTTTAATATTCCCATGAGATCAGTAAGGATTTCAGTTTAAAAATATGTTCTCGTATTACTTACAGATATCACATCCATAGACATCAAATCGTAGACAGACACCGCCCCCTGAGTTGCGGGTCTGAGGAGTAATTCTGATATAACGTGCTGCTATTGGATTCCTAAACCAGTTGACCCTGACGGCATTCCTATCGCTGTTTCCTTCTAAATTCTATTTAATACAATCCGGGAAAGTACAAAAAGTATAATAATTAGTGGATTGTTAACATCAAAAGGCTTTTAATAAGCTCACATTAAAAACACATGTCATTCACCATTTTCTATACATCGGTTTACTGGTTAAACACAAAGCGCTCAAGATACTTTCAAAGGCAAGGCGCCAAGATACTTTCAAAGGATTATTCAAATTTGAACCTTGCAACCTCGACTGAATGCTTTGTGTTTGACCAGTGAACCAATGTATAGAAAATGGTGAATTAGATCATTAGGATGTACTTTTGAGCAGGGCATATATATATATGACTAATAATCATAGCCCAGACGATGTTACCTTAACGACCWGTCCTTCTTTGTACTCATTCCAATATCTGTTATCAAAGCTGTAGCTAACTTTGTATGACTTCACCCATGCATCCATATCTGGGTTACCTTGTGTTGCAATACCTGTCACTGTCTTGACCTGTCCAAGGTCAACCTGTATGTACTCA